TACGTGCTGTGATACTTTCCTAAGAAGTCAGGGCTTTCAGTTCATCTCACTATAAAACTGTCAGATTTCCTTGTCTCGGGTGCCCCCTGTGATTTTTATCAAGGGTTTTCTTGGTAAAGATCATGTAAAAATAATGAAAAAGATTACCATAAAGCTGCCAGTCTCTGATTTCTTTAAGATTATTATTGTCTTATGAACATGCTATCTATTTTTCCAGGCTATACCCTCAAGATTCTAATGGAACTTCTTTAAGGGTTTCTGGTCAGAGTTATCTTTGTGAGGAATTCTACTTGGCCTAAATAAAAGCCAAATGTCTTTCTTTTCTTTTCTGAGCATACGTCTTATAAACCAAATGTATATTGTTTGCTTTTCATTAGCCTGCCGTTACACAACCTGGCTTGATCACTAAGTAGCTAATCAAGGTGTTCGCCCTGTCATATTGTTTAGGCAATTTATATAATTTAAGGCAGAAGTAGACTTTGGAGCATAGCTTCCACTCTTCCACTTTGTTCTCCATTTTTTTCTATAATAAGATAAACATATTAGCATTTTACTTGTTCTAATTAAGAGTATCTGAGATTATACATGAGTTTTATAGGCAGCAAACAACAGTCCTCAAAGTGGCCACACAAGAAAACCTTTGTGACTTACCACAAGGTATTCTACATTCATTAATAATGTCATTATTCTCACATTACCAAGCTTTTATTCATTTAATTTCATCTCTTCATCAAGGGCCTCAGTCCTGAAGGGAAAATAGAGATACAAACATATAAGCTACTCTACATCATGACACATTGCGTAAGTATAAACAAAGGATTTGAAGAACCCAAAAGATGGAAATATTGATGTCACCTGGAGGACTCAGCAAAGTTGGATAAGGGACCATTTCTTGGGTTATTTGTTTCTTGTTTTTAGTTTGTAGTCTTGAAGAAAAGAGTAATGGCATTGGGAAGATGAAGATGCAAGACAGTTCTTCCCCCCAGCTCTAGAATTAGGGAGGATTAATTAGGTAAAAGGAGTCTTTAGGTTAAGAGAAGATAGTTGAGGGACTTCTTTCTGGTATAAGTGTTCTCAGTAAAGCAGGTAGACGTTTGCTGAAGCAGCAGGGGCCAAATATGGAATCTTGAAAAGATCTGGGGTAACCTCCGGGAAATATGGACTCCAGTAGCCATGGAGCAAAGTCGAGATCAGTAGTGATGGGCACCCATAAAAGAGAATAAAGTGGAGTAGAGCCTGCCCTCATGAGGAGGTGGTTTTTTTCCCCTCCTTCACTGTCAAGATGGAGAACCGAGGACAAGGCTGGCTGTGGCCTGAACTGTGCATCGGCAAGGCAGGAAAGCATGGGAGGAGGGCCAGCGGCTGAGGGCTTCTCATGAGCATTTGCCTGTGGGAAGAGAGGAGGGAGTTGAACGATTGGCTGAAGTGTGAACATGAGAGGCACAAGGAAGTCCCCCTCTCCCTGTGGCTCCCTTCCTTGCCTAGAGCACTGAACCCCAGCCTTGCCCACTCGCCCATCCATCTCCCCAAATTGCCTTTACAACTGACTCTCCCTATTCTGGCATCAGCTGCTCCCTTTCTTTCAGCCCATAAAGAAGACCGTGTGGTGTGAGGAAATACAGAGCTTTTATTTTATGGTATTATGTGGTATTTTATTCTTTTTCTGATGTAGCTTCTCATTTCTATATTTTCACTTTCACATGTCACTAAGTTTAAATGTTTAAACATTTCCCCCCTTCAGTAGCCAAAAAGAAAACAAAGCAACAGCTAATATTGTAATAAATTTATTTCTAGCTACAGGAGATAAGCTTCAATGCAATATGGCCATAAAGCACAGCTCCCAGGCTTAGGGGAGAAGCAATAAACTTTTATAAATAAAAGAATTTTAAAATACTTCTGGCAGTATAAATAAGGGTAAAATATAATGTAACTGGCAACACACAGTCAACACCAGTGCTACTTAAGAAAGAAAACTATGAACTAAAATAAGATGTTTGCAGTTTTTTCGTTGTTGTTACCTTGCACCCCAGGTAGGCTGGCTGGAGAATTCACTGTGAGAAGTTTTTGACTCACCTTCTGAAATGTTATCTCAATTACATCTCCAGACACCTTTTGATTTGCTGAAGATCTGTGATAATCACCAAGGAGAGCCAGGGCTACTGATGCCACAAATAAGAGAATTCTCAACAAATATTAAGGTGTTAGAGAACACCTTTCAAAACAGGGAGGGGGGTGCGTGCAAGACTGTCCCGCAGGCTGGCTTATGAGGGAGCCAGCACAGCTCCGGGGTTCACTTGACTCTCAGTCCTGCTCTGCAGCGGACCTTTAAAGAAATTTGAAGTCCTCCTGAGGTCCATCTCAGGTTTCATTTGGATTTTCAACTCAGGAGACACTTGGACAAAAGCTTTAAAAAAAAAAAAAAACACTGGCATTTTAGTGAGCAATGCTTTGGTTTGAAAGACTGTCGAAGTAGTGAACTACTCCTCTAGAAAATTAAGGAGCAAGCAAGAGAATGAATAGCTCTGATCTCTCTCTCTCTCCCTCTCTCAAATCAGAAGTGATAATAAAGGGGAAATGGAATGCTGTTAATAGGATGAAGTCAGAATTTCTTGGTGCTCTCACTCAATAAAGTTGTATTTCCTCAGCATCCATAATTGTAGACCAACTGCATTTGTCACAGGAAGCAGGTTAAACATGGTCTCTCGCCGCACCCACCCCACCCCCGCCCCGGGACCTGCCGGCCTTGGTAGCACAGGGTGAGTTATACCCGGCAGCATGGAGTGAGTGTGGGAGGGCCTGGCAGGGTAAGCCTCGTTTAGAAGGTGGTAGACCACCCTCTGGAGGGAAGGGCAGTCCAGAGAGAGGGAATAAAGGAGCTGGGAGGGTGAAGAGAAGTAGAACGAATGTTAGTAGGGCTTCGATTGTGGAAAGCCTTAAGTGTCATTTTAAGGAGTTTGGAATATATCACGTAAACAGGAGGAAGCCGCAGGAAACAGAACTAGCAGAGACGTGATCTGTGTTTTAAATCTGTTTTATAAAGAGAAATCTCTGTTGGCGGTAAAGAGATGACAGGTGATGAGGGCACTGGGGAAAGAGCAGAGGGAGTGTGGGGGCCTTCCATGTATAATTTACTGTCTGAAGAGGGATCTGTGTTTGCTGGACTGTGCAGAGAAAGACAGGCTCGTACTGAAATGTAATTCGCAGTTTCCTTTCACTACGTAGTAGCCATGTGATCATGGGCAAGGATCTTGAACTCTTGTCTCAGGTTTCCCATCTGCAGAATGGGAATAACAGTAGAGCCTTCTGCCTAGGGTGGTAATAAATTAACTGAAATGTCATATCTGTATGCGTAGCCCTTAGCACCATGCCTAGTGTGTGGTACATGCTGAATATTGTCTCATTTTTACACTTTGTCAGTTCATTGATTTTCTTGTTTGTTCATTTAACCTATGTGAGGACAGCCAGTTTTAAGACAATCCAGGCTAATCTGCTGCAGATTGTCATTGATATAAGTTTTGCTTGCAGCATTTCACTGCCATTTTTTTACCTCCTTTTCTTAATTCCTCTTGGGCCAAAAATGTCCAGCAGAAAATAAGAGGGTGAAGCCTATAAATGAAAACAGCTACTTCCCCTCAGTGTAAAGTGTGAAGAGGAAATTTTGCGAAGAATGTGCCTTATGGTGGTCCTTGGTGTCAGAGTGTAACAGGGGACAGGGGAAGTGTTAAGTCAAGTCCCAGTGCTGGGAAAAGTGAGCGGCCTTGCTTTACAGCGCAATCCGGTTCTATTATTTTGATCAACAGATTCTGAAATTCCAGAACATAGTGTGAACCACATTTGAATATGATTGCAGAAACACCTTCAACAATCCCCAGTATAAAAGTTTAATCACCTATGCCTTTGCTTCCCTCATTGTGAAAATAACTTTGAAATGACTGTACCATATCCTTAAATTGGAACAATACTTCTATCTCCCATGAATATAATAAAAAATTATTATGAGTATTTTCATTGTAGCTATAGTTTATTATATAAATATATATATATTTGTGTTTATTATACAAGTAACTGCAGGCTCAGATATTAGCACTCAGAACAAAACTCTGGTAGGAGGGAATTGTGCCTTATTTTTGCCTTGTGCAAAGCCAGCACTCGGTTCCTTCACAACGTTGGGGCTTTTGTGAAACAGGAAACAGGTCCCGTTAGGTTAGAGGAAGAATTTATAGGATTTGGAGAGAAAAACTAAATATCCTGAAACTTTTTGCCTTTGAAGAGCTGGGAAAGCCGTTCATGACAGAGAGGCTAACACAGCTGCTCTGTGTAGTTGAGATGAACAAAGCGTTTCTTGACACTAAAGGTTTGTATTGTGCCCGAACGTGAACTCTTCATTGATGGAAGGGGTTTTATTTGATCTGTCAAGATTACCAAGCCATATGTCACCATCCCCAGCAAAAATACAGCATTATGAAATAATGATTAAAGTTGCAGAAGCCAATTCATGAAGTGGCAAGAGATTATAGATGCTGCATTTTCTCCTGTTGGTTACTGGGAATTAAGTTTCAGCATTGAGGACTTCTGAAAGAATACCCATAAATTATTTAAATTATATTCCCCAACTTTCTCCTTGATTTTTGGCTGAGCAGTCTTGACGAGTTCATAAATTAGGGCAGTGTTCTATTTTAATAAGGTAATTTACTGAAAATGCTTTTGCAGGATCGAACTTGTGTGGTTAGAGGGATGAGCAAAGATCGTAATGGAATAGGTCATCTGTATCTAGTCCCGAGCCTGTAGGAGCACATGTGTGACTTCAGGCAAGCAACTTGCTTACTTGATGGGATACTGTTTGTCCTATCACCTCCGAGGGGCTTTTGTGAGATTTAAGTAAGTGGAGGTACATGGAAACCTCTTGAAGCAGAAAAGGCACTAAAAATAACTAAATGTAGTTGCTGAATATCCTTAACATAGAACAAGTGGGCATTTTGTTTGTGTGTTTAATTTTACAGGGAACGAGGGAAACTCTCAGTCGTCACTGCGTTACCCTGGGTGATGCTCTACGGAAAGAGAACGATTTCGCTCTTATCATTGATGGGAAAACCCTCAAGTATGCCTTAACTTTCGGGGTCCGGCATTATTTCCTAGACCTAGCTTTGTCCTGCAAAGCTGTTATTTGCTGCAGGTAAGTTCTCCTAAACATTGTCCAGTTTCAATAGAGAGTGACTTTATCCTAAATTCCCTGATTTTGAAAGTTTCTTAAAGTGATTCTACCCAGAATTTGTAAATGTCAGGCTATATTTATTAGTAATTCAAACTCAAGATTCACAAACTGAGGTCGAATTTATCAGCAGAGTTTTTGAAAGTGAGTCCTAACAATCCCTAGTAGTTACTGCTCACAGTTAGAATTGGCAGGTTTCTTGCCATTTTCTGTGTTTAAAATCAATTATTTACCTGCATTCCTAACTAGTGTTATTTCTGTAAAGTTTCTGTTTTCTACACTTAAATCTCTGACCCTGCCACTAGGATTTATTTTGGGGAATGGCATGATGGGAGGACTAACTAAATCATTTTCCAAATAGCTTAATATTTTCCTGAAGGCTCCGCTATTTGGAAAATAATTACAACTGTACAGTCTTTTAATTTATAATATTGCCCTCTAATTTATAATATTGCCTGTATCCTAAAATAAAATCTGTTTTGCGTTATCAAGTCTTCATCCATAGAATTATATTTTATTTGTAAACCATCCAGTCCTTCCTGAACTTCTTGTTAAGGACTCTTCCCCTTCTCTTTGTCTAAATTGTTTAAACTATGTCTTCCTAAAATTTAAGGTGTATTTGTGACTGTGCCCAGCCTCATCCCTTCTGGTCACCATGGCACCTAAGGATTTTCCTCTTCACCATCCATGTACCAAATCTTACCAGCTGGTCAGACAAAGTTCAGGGCAGCAGTTTCTCAAATTCTCCTTTTTTCTGGGAGAGGAACTGTTAGCAGGGCTTCTGAAGAATTTCATAGAATCTATGCTTTTAATTTTATCATTAAAACTGTACTGTTTGCTTTTATTATTTTATTTAAAATACATTTATTTTAAAAAGAATGCTATGCTTTTTAAACCTTTTCTGTTTTTTTGGTCCAGGCTTAGTCACTAAAATGTCCTGTATATAATACTGTCTCCAAACTTAGAAGCCGTGCCATGTAGATATTTCCTAAATTTTAATTGCGATATACTTTGTGAAATATAATTTAAATCATACTTAATAAGTACCCTTTATAAACATCACTTCAACCTATAAAATTATATCATAATCAGAGAATTGAGTTGCTTTTTATTCTTCTCAGTAACATGTATTAATTAAAAAAAATTACTATAAAGCTGTTGGAAAAATGTTTCACAGATAATTAATATTAGTAAGAATTAGTCTCTCTTGCTTAATCATGAAGAAAGAATTAGAAATTATTTTACCTTCACTGTGTCATTTGCACTGTGGTACCCTTATGCGTTTTATTTTATTTTATTTTTTATTTTATTTTACTTTATTTTATCTTAATCCGAGGACATGCTTATTGATTTTAGTGAAAGGGGAAGGGAGGGAGAAAGAGAGGGAGAGAAATTCTAGTGAGAGAGGAAAACACCGATGGATTGTCTCTGGAACGTGCCCCACCTAGGATTGAATCCGGGACCACTTGGTGTATCGGACGATGCTCCCATCGACTGAGCCACACCAGCCAGGACCTCGTGCTTTTTAAAACCTGTTCTCCCGGTAACCTTTCTTGGTCCCTTGCTAATCCCTAGAAGTCTTAGTAATGTGCACCCCTGACAGAGTCTTCATCAGAATAGTATTGTGGCCAGATTTGGTTGTTTAATCATTGCCACTAATGGGATCACAAGGATCAAGAAAAGTTTTCTTGAAAACATATTAAGTGATATGACTGTTGGCATCTATGTGGACACAAAACAGAATCCAGAGCTATTGAGATAAAATGACAAGTTCCCTTGAGTCCGCGGCATCCGCCCTGTGCCTACTGTGCGCCAGACGATGGTGCATGTACGAGAATGAATAAGACTTCCCGCCAGCTCTCCTTCCTGTATCTTTCTTTCTTTGCATTTTAAGTAGAAAGAATTTCAATTGGTTTGAAAGATGTGGGGGGCCAGTTTTCAAAATGCAGTCCCGGCAGCTGAGCCTCATTCTTACAGCGTTGCTTAACACGGTTCCTCCCACCATTCTTCAGAAAGTTGAGCCACAAATTAAACAATAGCAGAGCGAGAGAAAAACTAGCAAGCAGCATCAAGGGAGGAAAAATATGTTCTGTGCTTGTGAAATTCCCTCCCGAGATCCTTGTTCTGGACGCTCACTAGTCACATGGACCTCGGGGCTCCTCCAGGTCCCCAGGAGGGACTCACACCCTGCCGTGCACGTGCAGCTCTGCAGCCCAGCTTATAAAGATGTGTGTGGCCCCTCTCTCCCCCCCGTCCTGCTTTATGCACGTTGGAGGACCATGAAGGTCCCTGTGCAGACACTGAGGTTTATTTAGACTTTTAGCCTTGCTTTTTGGTTTTGCTTCTTTTTCTTTTTTTTTGAAGTAAAATATCTTTCCTCGGCTTTTTTTCTTCTAATTACCTTCATACTCTCTCTTTTTCCCATAAGGACTGTGGTTCAGCTTCCGGTCTGGCTTTGAGAATTCATCTAAGCCCATAATTACATCAGTGCCCCTGCCCAATTTATGCCTCTGCACCTTCTCAGCCTGGTGCCTCTTGGCATTTAGCTGTTGGCACAAACCATCATCGTATCATTGAGCTTACTGACCTCCAAGTGTAGTCTCCACGCTAAGCTCCTCTCCCGGGGGAGGCATAGGTGAGAAATTCTGTAGATCATTCTTTCCTGTGAAATGCCAGTGTCACTCCTGGGTTTTTAGATGATTACCATCTCCCAGCCTCAGGAAATTCTCTATTTTACTTCACTGCAAGAGATGCTCCCGATAAATGCTGAACATTATTCCAAAGTACAGTACAGTACTGTTTCCCGAATTCATTTATGTTTATTCTAGCTGTATGGGGCTTTCCCCTCAAACTTCTTTCCAATCTATTTCTCGTCAGTCCATGCAGGAAGATAATTCAGAGTCTGCCCTTCCCCCAGTCCTCTCCTCAGTCCTAGTGGGACTAAAAGTGGAGGGAAGGCCTTCCCGGAATGGATGGGGAGGCCCTCCATACTAGTTACATCTGTCAGCATTACGTCAGCCTCATCCTTCCCTGACATTATCAGCCTAAAGGGCAGAAGGCAGTTTTTAGTGTTTGCCTAATTGACACAGTTATAAAAGATGAGCGTTTTCCCTGAAGAGTCTGAAGTGGAATTGAAAGAAACAGTTGTTCTTCATCGGTAGTCACGAAGTCTCTTACTCACCACTCTTTTCTGAAGGGAATATTCCGAGACAGAAATAATACCCTCGCCCCCTAATTATTCAGGGCTTTGGAGTCCTGGTTTTGGTTTACAAAGAGAAGCTTGCATGTTATTCCTCAAATATTTTTTTGAGTATGTAAAATCCAAGAAGTAAAATGAAATCTGTTTTTATCAGTCTATCAGGTACTGTATTTTCATGACGACCACGCAACGTTCTTTTTTACCTCTGTGCACATTTACCTGTGTAACCTGAGTAGTTTAATGGGAAGCAGGCCTCTCGTGTTAGGGTGGTTTCTGATCAGTTTTCCTGGTAATAAACATGAACTGTGCCTTGTGGGCCACCTCCCTTCTGTTCTTACTCAAGTACACCGATTCTCATCGTTGGGTGTGATCACAGATACTTTTGAAGAATGAATGAAAGCTGTGGGTCATCTCCTCTAAAATATACATGTGCACACAAATATATAAAACTAAATGCACCATTTTAGGGGTTTGACAGACTCCCTGAAACTCCTCAGACAGGTAGAGGAGGCAAAAGGCTCGCTCCAAGAGTCCTGAAGATTTGTGTACACAGCTAATATCAAGAGCCAGTCTGCAAAGGAACTGTAGCAGGAAATAACTTTTCATGTCAGTTACCAATATTTTGTGCCCTGAAGTCATACAGCTTATATTATGTAATGACATTTTAGCTGGGGATTCACAAAATTCTTCTTCTAATGCTCCCTCTCTGGTACTGCAGATACCAAATGGTATCTCTCTGGTCTTGGTTTTGTGACCTATGAAATGTGGGGCTTGGCGTATAGCCATCATTCACGTCCTCCAGGGAGCCTGATGTCTAAAGCAGCTCACAGTGGAACTTGCCCGGCTTGGAAAGATGGGAAACCCTGCACACATGCACACTTTCTGGGTTATCCCCTTCCAGCGTGAGAGCTTCTGGTCCAGGAGATTTCTCTGAACCCTTTCTTTCTTTCCTCCTTTTTCCCTTTTTTCTTTCTTTCTTTTGTTTGTTTGTTTGTTTGTTTGTTTGGATGAACCATACTTCTATTGGCCACTCTATTCTGGGAAGACTCTGTCTACTGCTTGGATTAACTTAATTCGGGGAAGCATCTGTTCCCCCTCTTTTAATATTCTCTCCAGAAGAGAGTGGGGACGTTGCAGTGAACTATCGCCGTGTGTTAAATAGCATGTGGTTTCTGAGATCCTCGTCAGTTCACATAACCTAGCCTTTCAAAGGATTTTACATTTTTTTCTGTAGTTGTCAGTTTAGTTTAAACATATATTGAAACTTATGTTCTGTGACAGTTGGTTGAAAATTGGCATAGAGCCTCCAGCTTTTAGACCGTCTAGTAATCACCGTTCTTCTACATAATTTATGTACTCATGTCTTCTGAAAAGCAGAAGTTAAATTGAAGTGAGCGTTCTTCCCTACTTGCAACATCTCTAATCAAAGTTTAACCCCCTTGTAGGCGATTTCCCCACAGTGCATAAAAAAACACTTGACCTCAGTGAGTGTCATCGCTCGGGAGTAGCATTCCAGGCAGCACCTTTCACCTTAGTCCCATCAAGGGACCCTCCAAGAAGAGGTCTGGAGGGACACTTTGCATACTTTCTGTCATAGCTTGAGTGCATTAAATACAGGATTTATTTACTTCTGGAATCTACTTCTTGAATTTTTTTGAGATTGCTTTCAACTTTAAGGATTTCTCTGAATAAATGCTCTAGTTAAAGAAAGAGTAGTCATAATAAAGCACAAATGACGCTAATAAATGCTCAACAGACATTCCTT